ACGCCAACACAACAACGGCACGCGACAACGACAACGCGACGACAACGACAACGACACTCGATGGCGACAACACGACGGCGACACACGACGTCGACAACGCGACAGCGACATGCAACGTCCACAACGCGACGGCGACATGCAACGTCGACAATGCAAGTCCCCCACCACACTCTCCCCACCCCATTAGTCCCCCCCTCCACACACTCTCTCCTCACCACTCCTCCCCCCCTCCCTCTACAACACACTCTCCCTCTGTGTCTCTACCTCCCTTTTCTTGTCCCCACCCCCTTCATTGTCCCTACCCCCTTCCTTGTCCCTACCCCCCCCCTGCTTTAATATAGATTGTATGTAGTAAAATACATTTTGTGTCCTTATTAAATAAATTATAATTTGACATATAAATCTATTGCTTGAGATATGGGTTCTATGAGGGATTTTGAGTACTAAGTTATCAGGATAAGGTAGGAGTTGAATAAATACATATGTAGTCACATGATGAAAAGCTGATCAGTAAATTTACATTCATTCCAGTCCTATTCCTGTGGAATCCTGCAGAATCCAGTTCCATTCCTGTGGAATCCTGTGGAATCCGGTTCCATTCCTGTGGATTCCTGTGGATTCCTGTGGATTCCTGCAGGAATGGGAGGGGCACTATAAAGTACTGGGATCTGCCACTCCTTGAGGGTCCGGAAAGGGATGATGTAACCCCGTCAATGAGCTGCCCCATCCCGCGACCCCCGGGTTGTTGGAGTAGAGTTTGCAGATGCAAATGGCGAAAATTTCATCATCGAGCAGTCTCCTCCAATGCCTGGACAAATAGGTCTGTTCACGCCCTCGGAAGGTATCATGAAAGTCGGTTGGTACAGGTTGTCAACTATGGGCTCATAAAGGAGCAGCGGTTGAATTCGCTCAATGTCCAAGGTATGTGCTTGCAAGGGTCATCAAAGTCCTCGCTGGACAACTGTCATGTTCAAACCCTTCCTAGCCAAGGGCAAAGCGCGAATTCGCTCAGTGGCCAAGGTATGTACTTGCAAGGGTCATCAAGGTGCTCGCTGGACAACCAGTTTTTCACTTCCCCAATGATCCGTTGTGCCTGGTAACGAATAACTAAGAAAATGAACCAAAAATCGGACACAAAGGTTCCTCGCACAACGAGAAGGCCCAGTTGGCAAATACACTATCGGCCGCCCATCCCGCGATCCCCTGGGTCATCGGAGTAGAATTTCCAGTTGCAGCCTGCCCAAATGGCGAGGATTTCATCACCGAGCAAGCAGTCTTCTCCAACGCCTCGACAAATAGGACCTATTTGGGCAAAGCGCGAATTCGCTCAATGTCCAAGGTATGTACTTGCAAGGGTCATCAAGCTGCTCGCTGGACGACTGGCAGGTTCAAACCCATCCTACCAAGGGCAAAGAGCGCATTCGCTCAGTTTCCAAAGTATGTACTTGCAAGGGTCGTCAAAGTGCTCGCTGGACATGCCTAGTAACAAATAACTAAGAAAATGAGCCAAGCATCGGACACAAAGGTGAGATTAGTGACCTCTTGCAGCTCTGGCATTCCTTGATGGTCCGCAAATAGGATGATGTAACCCCGTCGTCCTCGCACAACTTGAAGGCCCAGTTGGCGAATACCGTATCGGCCGCCCCATCCTGCAACCCCCTGGGTTATTGGAGTAGAGTTTGCAGATGCAGCCTGCGAGAATTTGATCATCGAGCAGGACAAATAGGTGGGGTGAGAGTCCGTGAGACACTGGGCGTGGACCTATTCAGAGGATAGTATAAAGAGCGGCACCCAGTATCCATCGGTAGACCGTAAAAACGTGAGCTGGCAAGAGGTCATTAGGCACTAGCTTGTCAATGAAAAGTCCATCCCCACAGGAAGGCACCAAAGTATAATCCCTTGATAGATATATGTATCAATATCGCCGTTGCTTTTGGAGCTCTGATGCTTAGATCCTGAGTTGTTAGCAGTACTTTACAGTGCCCCTCCCATTCCTGCAGGAATCCTCAGGATTCCTGAGGATTCCTGTGGATTCCTGCAGGAATGGGACCAAAATAGCACTGGGATTTAAATCAAACTGCCTTGGACAAAATCATAGAAAATACCATCATGTGAATCAATCTGAATCTTTTAAACAACTCAGAATTCCTTGTGTTACTTATATTTATAACAGATAGATTTATTGAATAGAACTACATGAATGTATTTTACAATATTGAATACTATTTTAAAATAAATATTTGGAGAGGGGGGAGTAGTGGGGAGGGAGAGGGAGAGGGAGTGGTAGAGGGGAGAGGGAGTGGTGGGGAGGGAGTGGTGTAGAGAGGGGGGAAAGAGTGGTGGAGAGAGGGAGAAAGAGTGGTGGGGTTATGGAGAGGAGGAGTGATGGAGGAGGGAGGGAGTGATGGAGGGGGGAGGGAATGATGGGGAGTGGAGGGGGAGGGACTGGTGGGAGGGTGGTGGGGACTGATAAAGGGGGTGTCGTGGTCCTGTGTCGTTGCGTTGTCGTCGTCGCGTGGCGTCGTCGCGTTGTCGTTGCGTGTCGTCGTTGCGTTGTCGTCGTCGCGTGTCCCGCGACGTGTGGCCGTGGTTTGGACGTGGACGTGTCGTCGTCGTTGTTTGTCGATCGTGGTGGTGGTGGTGGGCGCGGTGTGGTCGTCGTCGTTGGTGCCGTGTTTCGTTGGTGACGTGGCGTTGCCGTGTCGTCGTGGTGGGCGTTCGTGGATGGTGGTGGTGCCACGTCGTTGTCGTTGTCCGTCGTCGCGTGGTTGTCGATGGCCGACAAGGCGCCATTGTGGGCGCTGGGCGTTGTTCCGTGGGCGCTGGGGTGTTTTCGTGGGCGGGGTGGTGCTGTTGTGTGCCATGGTGGGCGCTGGGCGGCTATCCCAATTGGGACGAACGACGACATTTGTCGTCGTCGTTCGTCGTCGTCCCGTTGCCACGTCGGCTCCTCGCCTTGTTGCCACGTCGCCTCGTCGTCCACCTAGCGTGTTCGCGTTGTCGTGGCCGTTGTTGGGTGGTGCGGCGTCGTCGTGGTTGTCGCCGTTGGCAACGTGGTTGGTGGGAGGGAATGGAGGTGGCGGGGAAGAGGATGGTTGGTGGTGGGTGGAAGGGAAAGGGTGTTGCCCTTGTTTGGTAACGTTGCCTTTGTTTGGTAACAAAAGTAAAATAAACAAACAATTGACCGGATTCCGTTGCATTCCGTTCCTGCCAATCCTGCGGAACATTCCGGTGTCAATTCCGGAATGCCCAAATTCCGCCGGAATGGTAAGGCACCGGAATTATGAAAATGGCAGGCCTCCCTGCCAAATTTCATTCCTCCGGAATCCACCGGAATCCGCAGGAATGACCGGATTCCTGCAGGAATTAGGGGGGCACTGATAAGACCTCGTTTGTTTCTCCGCCCTCACATTCGGAAGGTTTCTCCGACTATATTTTATCCCCAGAACTGGAGGGAAGGTTTTCTACCTTTCCTTTCACATCCCTTCCTTCTCCACCCTCAGACCATGGAATTTTCCGCGAAGATTTATCCGAATACATGCCCCATCTCCAACAGGTGATGAATGGAGTCCAGAAACTGCACATCATCTCGGGATTATTTGGAGAGCGCAACATAACTGGGCTGCTGCGAGAGATCTGGCCCTTCCTATTACGAGGCCAGGCTATGCAATCATTGCTTCTGGTTTTTGGTACCCCAGATTTTTTTCGCGACATCGAGCCGCTTATTGACTTTCCCGGGCTGGAATCCTTTGAGCTTTTCATGAGCATTCCAATGATGTTGATCTCGCCTGAATTTTTTGCCAGGCACCCCGCCCTCCGCCGTCTGTCTCTGAATTCTTTTGAGGATGACCCCCCAATGGAAAATAACCCGCTTCAGGTCCTCCCTCCATTGAAGTATCTACATCTTTCTGCAAACTATCGTTCGTGGAAATTGATGGATCCTGCATGTTTAAATGAGCTGCATTTTGATCTTAATGGCGATTTTGTCGATTTTTGCTCATCCGTTGACTTGCTCTCATGGCCTTTACAAACACTGGTCACCCAGAATTTCGCAGGACAGGTCACCATACAGATTCCACCGCTCACACATATCTCAATTGAGCACTTTGCATCATCCGGATGCAAGTGCTTCATATCGGGACCAATTTTGAAAATCCATACTCTTGTCGTTGAAAGCCTCGCTGATCTTTCCACCCATACTATTATCGTAAGCCAATAATATACCTCCCGCAACGATTGAACTCATTCTCATCGATAGGCCTTTCTTACATCATGGCTCAAAATGTTCCCGGACCTTCAGAGGCTGACTGTTAAGTCTGAGCTCTGCGACCTCAAAGAAATCGATCTGAACAGGTTCCTCACCTCCTTAAGGACATCCTCACACAAGCTACGCCAGTTTTCGTGCGCATTGGGGGACTGGAAGCGGGAGAACTACGGGAGGTGGTATAAAGAATTACGGAAGGTGGTATAAATGACTTGAAGTAGAGTGGGTGATGTCATCGACTCGGTAAAATGATTATATGTATCCCTGAAGGTTGGTCGGCCGCGAACACGAATGGAAGCTGAATAGAGAACTTCTTCTAATTCTAGAAAATGCTGTATAAATTTTGAAATCTATGCAACGTCACTCAGAGGGTTTGGAACTGGAGAGACCGATGATTATAACCTGAACTGCCGGTGCCAGATGACACGACGCGGGATCCAACACCGCTAAGCATGTATCTGCACTGTTGTCATGGGTGAATTGCATGGTATCGGAGCTATAGCCTATTTCCAACCGGTGCGACTCTTTGTTGGCGTTATGCACCGACTTTGGTACCTTGAGCCGCCGGACAAGTGGAAAGGCGTCAATGAACATGGATTTAGCTGAAAGAGTAAACATATAAAAGCCACATCGTAGTCACTCGGCAATTGCTCGGCAAATCCAAAGTCAAAGGGGCCAGAGAGTTGGCGGCTAATAATAGATGTGAGGAGAGATTATGTAATACGAATAGCGCCGTCTCCACAAAACTTTGGCCTCGACAACTTGATCCACGGCTCGTCGCAGCATCGAGCGAATTCGCGCTTTGCTACACTCATCGTTGGATTCTCATAATCGAGGTCGTAGCCATCGCGCGAGTTCTCACTGGCATTTGAGTCCTGTTAATGACCGAATCTGGATTTATGGACGACTGGAAGTAAGTCGCACTCACAGTATCACAGTTTCGTTCTCTCACAGACCTTTCCCCTCAGCGTTACCACATCGACAACTTGATCTACGGCTCGTCGCAGCACTGAGCGAATTCGCGCTTTGCTACACTTCATGGCGTCATCTTTGTATTCTCGTGACCGACATGGAACATTTCGTATGCACCGCGGGAATCCATGGATATTTCGATTCATGGATGACTGGATACACGGATACCTGGATCCATGGATTCTAGATGAGCTTCTCCCGGGACAAGGTGATCTCTATTTGCGGATCCTCGAGGAATGCCAGAGCTGCAAGAGGTCACTAATTTCACCTTTGTGTACGATGCTTGGCTCATTTTCTTAGTTATTTGTTACTAGGCACGTCCTGCGAGCATCTTGATGACCCTTGCAGGTACATACCTTGGCCATTGAGCGAATTCGCGCTTTGCCCTTGGGTAGGAAGGGTTTGAACCTGCCAGATGAACTGTTGACATCAGGCAACGTGAACAAATCAACCGCTGCTCCTTTATGAGCCCATAGTTGACAACCTGTACCGACCGACTTTCATGATACCTTCCGAGGGCGCGAACATACCTATTTGTCCAGGCGTTGGAGGAGACTGCTCGATGATGAAATTTTCGCCAGGCTGCAACTGCAAACTCTACTCCAACAACCCAGGGGGTCGTGGGATGGGGCGGCCGATACAGTTAGCCAACTGGGCCTTCTCGTTGTGCGAGGATGAAGGGGTTACATCATCCTATTTGCGGACCCTCAAGGAATGCCAGAGCTGCAAGAGGTCACTAATCTCACCTTTGTGTACGACACTTGGCTCATTTTCTTAGTTATTTGTTACTAGGCACGTCCAGCGAGCACCTTGACGACCCTTGCAAGTACATACTTTGGACACTGAGCGAATGCGCTCTTTGCCCTTGGTAGGATGGGTTTGAACCTGCCAGCTTGATGACCCTTGCAAGTACATACCTTGGACATTGAGCGAATTCGCGCTTTGCCCGGGTGGGAAGGGTCTGAACCTGCCAGACGAACTGTTGACATCAGGTGACATGAACACATTGACCGCTGCTCCTTTATGAACCCATACTTGGTAACCTGTACCGACCGACTTTCATGATGCGTTCCGAAGGCGCTAAAGGACCTATTTGTCTAGGCACTAACAGACCTATTTGTCGAGGCGTTGGAGAAGACCACTTGCTCGATGATGCACTTCTCGCCATTTGGGCAGGCTACAAATGGAAACTCTACTCCGATGACCCAGGGGGTCGCAGGATGGGCGGCCCATAGTGTATTTGCCAACTGGGCCTTCTCGTTGTGCGAGGAACCTTTGTGTCCGATTTCTGGCTCATCTTCTGTGTTATTCATTGTCAGGCACAACGGATCATTGGGGAAGTGAAAAACTGGTTGTCCAGCGAGCACCTCGATGACCCTTGCAGGTACATACCTTGGCCATTGAGCGAATTCGCGCTTTGCCCAACACGTCATCTCTGTGCTGCCATCTTCGTTCTTGGATACCTTGGCCACGGAGCAAATTCTCACTTCGCGAAGATGCTGATGCAGCAGCTGATCCCCGATCGAAGCATCTCCTGCAATGACTCGTGCGCAGCAGTCGTGCGACACCCTCGACCACACTGATAACAGGAGGATTTGGTCCACGGCTTCACTTCACGCCAAAATTGCAATTTCCCCAACCACTCTTTCTAGGGCAAAATCTCTCTGCACTCTAATCCCTTATTATTTCACTCTCAAGCCCAACTCATGCTCGAATTCCTCGTAATATGCAGTTTACGATTGGTCGTTAATGTAGGTTTTATCTTTTCTTTACCCAAACTTACCAGTCTATCCGA